AATTTCCGAGTTATTCACAAAAAACTGCATAAAATCGATATTAATCAATTTTAAGAAACTGGTTGCAGCTGTCGATAAATTTCGTTATCGATATTTATTGATTTTACGCAAATATAAGCTATCGAAGTTGGGTACAGAGTATCCTACAATCAGTCACTCTTCACCAGAACGCACTTATAATACGTTTTACGTTAGAGTTCGATTTAAGTTGTACAGACACATATATCTGAATCGATATTTATCGATTTTGGAAAATGGAAGCCATCGCAGTTGGGTACAGGGTATCTTACACTCGATTACTCTCAACCAGAACGCACTTTTTGTACATTTCTCTCTAGATTTAGTTTTCGCTTGTTTTCTGCGTACGGGTATTTAGACAGTCGTATACCCTTTCTTTTAGGCTGACGCCCCTTTTGCCTATTTGAAAGTTGCATTTGCCGGCAATTTTCCATCTCTTTTTATGGGTTTTTTAACAGAGCGAGGGAGGGAGGGAGTTGGGCAAGGGAGCGGGGCGTGGGGTAGTTCGCTTAACTTTCAACCACGTCGGTTTCTGCGGTTTATGCAAATTAGCAAAGTTAACATTTACCAAATTGTTGACGCTACCAAAATTTCATTTTGGCCCAAACTCTGTGGGTGGAGGTGGTGGAGGAGGGGAGGGGTTTTGCATCAAGTGCTGCCCCAACACGGAAGTGCAACTTGGTGGCGGTGGCAAAATCAAAGTGTTTGCCAGCTTTTTGATCAGCTATGTGTTAAAAGACGTTCCTCTTTAGGGAACTAGGGAACTTCCCCACCGAATGAGAAAGAGAGAGATATAGCTGGGCTATTTTTGTGGCGACTGCTTTATTAAGCGGATTTGAGTTGACAAGCGGCCAAGTGATGGCATGCACCTGCATGTCGACTCCATGCCTTATGCCACATGCCACATGTGCCCCAAAGCTATCTATCATAATTAGAATTGGAATTTTTTGTGTGCGTGTGCCACATAAATTAAATGCGCAACTGGCGCAACTGCAAGTAGAGCGTCAAATAGGATTTCGTTTAATTTCCGCCCATAAAGGACATTTAAAGATCTTCTCATACCCTGGGAATGTGCAAAAAGAGTATATTTGTTTACTATAAATGTATGTAAAAGACAAAAGGAACTATCTTCGATCAGAACATCTTCGAAATCTAGCGACTTGATACATATATTCTCCTCTATTACACAAGAATAATGTTGCCAGATTAAGATGCCCATGTCTATAAAGGATGTTTGAGGGTAGCATTTTAAGAATCGGACTGTCATCTCCGAAGTTATTCACGAAATCATTTCTATAGTATGGGGTAGAAGGTTTGAATGCTTGTCGAGGCAGCTAGGCCTTAGCTTTAGGGTATCTACTAGTCGGGCACTACCTACTTGCTTAAACTGGATAACCAACTGCCACTCTGCGGCCAAAGCGGCGTTTGGGGCAATGCCGAGGCGTCTAATCGCGCCCAAGTGAGCCGTTTGGACCGGAGACAACTTCAGATGGAATAACTGAATAGAGCTGAATAAAGCATAATAAAATGTCAAATGGCAGACAGGCGCAACAACAACAACTAAATTAACACTAACGATGTGCCAGGAACCCCTGGAACCTGGACAATTGGAATACCTTGCCCAGGCAGACACACAGTCATTGAAGGAAAGGGAGTGGAGCAAGATGCTGAGAGCTAAGCATATGATAAACAGATGAAAGGCCGCAGTAAAGTGCTTGCAAATGGTTTATCCTTTGGCTAGAGCCGTGTGTTTTCTCTGTTATTGTTGTGCGCATACCCTGTAACTAAGCAGGAACGGGTATGCCGTTACGAATGAACAAAATATGTATATAAGGCATATTAATCTGAAATGGAAGATTGCCAAACGTTTCGCTTGGGGCGATACAAGCGCGATAGCGACCCAAATATAGGGTATCAGCTAGTCACGTATTGCCAAACTTGTTGTTCCTGTAGCTAGCTTTACCCACAGCTTGGTTTAGTTTTTGGAGTTTAGCGAACCCGAACTCCGAAGTTCGGGTACGACGGAGTCGAAGACCCAGACGTTCGCCGACTTCTTTGTGTCTGGGCGACGCTTGCATCCTGGCCCTGTTCGAAGCTCGCTTTAAGAGGCTAATGCCCCGCACATAAAACATAAATAAAATAAGCATTTGGCAAATTTATGAATGTGCCACAGCGTGTTGCAATTAGCTGCGAGAGGAAATTCCTCTATCAGCATAGATGGATAATAAACGTATTTGGCAGGCAAGTTATGTGAAAATTTGCATAAGCTGCGCATAAATAAATTAACATACAATGTGCCTGCGCCAGTTGCTATTAACTGTAATTAGGTATCTTTTGGCTTGGCTTGCCACATGCCACCAGCTGTGTGCCCCTCGCTCGCCTCGGCTTGCAGATAATTAAATGCTGACGAGCTCCAATGAAAAGTGCAACTGAAGCTGAAGCTGCCGAAAGTAGCTCCCATGCACTGACTAACAAATAGGCACACACATTAATTAGACACACACATTCACACACACTCAATTATAAGGTATTGCTCTGAAAGGTTTTCCGACCACCAACTGAACTTTGGCAGTGCCTCGCAATTGACTGCAGCTACAGGCAATTAATTGATATGCTCTAAGGCATTGCTGCAAAAGGGTATGCCTGGCTAGATGCATGTTAGAGAGAGATTAAACTGTTTGTATTAAAATTCTGGACCTGGCAAAGTTACCAGCCACTTTACCGGGCAGTTAAACTTTCAGAGAGACAGATCTAATTGTCTGTTAAAGGTTAAAGGTTAATCCACGCTTTGTCAATCTCTGAATGTAGTATCACAATTCTATTAAAAACAAAACTTTTCGCCTCTAACATGAGCTTCAATAGTAAGATGAGAAAATAAGAATTGTATTTGTTATGGAAACGTCAGGAGTCGATTAACAAATACACATTAGAGAGAGATTCAACTTCTTGTCTTACACTCAAGTGCCTGACAAAGCTACCAGGCAGTTTAACTTTCAGTTAAAGAGAGGGATTCAGATCTAATTGTCTCTTGATCTAAAGATTTATCTGCGGCTTATCAGCCTTTGAATGTTTACTTATTTATTTGTGAAACAAAGATGTTATGCTCAGACTAACATGAACTTTAACAGTAAGATGAGGAAAAGCCTCTGAGAATTATGTTTATAATGGAAAACAATGTAGTTACCACCTTTTGAAGCTCTCATTCCGTTGTGAAGCCTTTAAATAAGTGGATTTTATGCCACAAATTAAGATTTCTTAGTTTTAACTAACCGCAAGCTAAAAGTTACAAGGCACACGCTAGTCAGGCAGCAGTCAAGTCCATCGCTTTCTCACTTGTTAGCTGCGAATGTGAACGTGAGAGAAAGTAGCAGCAAATTGCAGCTCTGGTGGCCAACGCGGAGGCCTGAGAACAACACAAAGTTTTGTAATTCATTCATTTATTCATTTGGTATTCAAACCAGAAATGAACTGCGCACTTCCAACTTTGGCAGCTCCAACTCCCGACTCCCAGGCCCAGTTTTAACTGAGACGCAAAATCCGAGACGTGGCACTTAACTAAATTAAATCCTTTCACGGTTTTGATTTGAATATTTGCGGTATTCGTTGCTGTGTTTAGATTATGAATTCATTTATAATCATTTAGTTTGAGTTATGTACATTGAAACACACTCAAGCACAAATCCCATAATGAGCATATTCTATTAGGCGGCCAGAGCTACCTACCCTTAGACGACTTGCACCCCAATACAGGACGACACGGGGGTTGGAAATTAACGAAAGCAAATCCTGGACACATGTTGCATTCACTTTGTTTTGGTGGCTTGGGTAATGCCATGTTTTGACAAACCCCAAATCAGCAGAAACTGACGATGAGAAATCCCTTTTGAAGATGACAACCATTTGCACCCGCAACCAACCAAGCGGCGGTGACAACATTCACTTTGACAAGGACTCCCTGTCACTTCCTCCGACTGCAATTTACCTAAACAAGCTGCGACCTCCTACCCCATCCGTGGAAAGGGTTAAGAGTAAGCGCAGGCAGTTGTACAACCCCAAAATCCAGAACGAACTCCCTTTTTTGGGGCGACTGTTAAATGACATCCAAATGTGTATTTATTTAGCATAGTCGAGTTGATGCATTTTGCTTTTGCGGTTTCACATAATTGAAAATCGAATCAAATCGCGTGAAATTTAATCAACTTAAGAACTTTAGCTTTGCAGCGTACAAAAACGAACTCCCCAGCGATTCGAGCAGCTCCAGCTCCAGCTCCAGCAGGAAATAAAGAATTAGCTCAAATCCACGTAATAAAATTCCTACTATTTGCCTTGAATTGAGTTACTAATGGGATAGAGTTGAGCTACGCATTGCCAACGACAGGAAGACAAAAACAACGGGCAAAACATTTAACTGAGGGAAGAGGCGAAGTTTGAATACTCTATCCGAGCATATAATATATAGCATGTTGCAATGTATTGTAATGCCAGGTCGTACACAAAATCTACTGGAAGATTCTTTCTAGAAAAGCTGGCCCATATTGTGATTCGATGTATTAGACTAACTTGCACGGACTAAGACAGACACATAGATAGACATGGCTATATACTCTGGCCTCGCAACGTTACCCACCTCATGACAAGACCATAATAACCTTAGTTAGGGCATAAAAACGCCACAAAGCCAACTGGCGTTGCGATGCGCTGCGAAGCACTGTGTCTCCCTAATCAAATGCCGATGAGCTCTGGCCCAGGCTCATACCCTGTCCCATACCCAGCCCTCGTTCCAGCTCCGGACGCAACCCCCAACTCTGGCCCATTTGTTGTGCATTTGCGTGTTTGCTGAGGCTACTAAATAAGCAGCCGGCGGATGTGTAATGTCCGCCCGAGCCAAATGGACACAGACTGTTCCCAAGTCAGGAAATTAAGACCTGTAAGCGGATTTTGTGATGTGCCACATGGCCAGCTACTTACAGTAACTGAAGCTATGTTCACTTTCATTGATGGCCATTTATTTGATATATGTTAAAGCTGCCCCTCGCCTACTTGCTGGAGCGTCTGCGTGTGTTGCCAAAGATGCGCAGGTGCTTGCTGCGCGAGAGCTCTCGGGCCTCGCGTTGGCTCAGCTCGTAGAGCTCCGCTTCCAGCTCACGTATGTAGGCGGCCATTGCCGCCGGCGATAGATTGGACAGCTCTGTGGAGGAAGGGAGACATTACTGGCTGCAGTTGAGTGCATTGATACCTCTTTGCACTCGCACTCACCCATTCGCTTTTGTTCGTCCTCCTTTTGGGTGCGGGCACTGCTGCTGGCCGCCTCCTGTTCGTTCTTGATGGCCATTTCGGCGATTATGGAGCTGACACTTTTGCGTCCGCGTGGACTCTCCTCCACATCCGCATCGGCGTCCGCATCGTCGTCACTCTCCTCGTTGGATGATGCTGATGCCGGCTCCGCCTCAGTCTCTGCCTTATCGACCTCCATTCTGATTCTCTTTATAGCAACGGAATGCTGCGACAAATGCTTTTTCTATCTAAAGTGTTGTGCAGTGATTTGGCTGTCAGGCTGTCAGTGCTGTGGAGCACAACAAAAAAGTGTTGGAAATGCCAATTGTATTTATTGCCATTGGCCGAGATTTCCAAATCTCATAACGTGCTCAAAACTGAACGGATTTTCATGAGGAATAGCTTTTTGTTTATGGCTTGTCGCTGAGCACAATTTGGCATCTATTTTTTTTTGACCACTCATTTTGTTTGTATGGGATAATCACTATTTAAGCTCGATTCTCGTATATATCATAAACAAAGCTCCTATTTTATTATTAAAGCACACACATTTATTTACTCAACCCACCTGGCCCAGAACATATTTGTACTCTATTGCGCACACAATTTCGGGATATTTGCGTAGTTGAATGCTGTCTTGGCCTTAAGCGTTAACCCTAGCCATAAACGGGCTTTGTCCGTGGCGCACATTAGCTATCTAGCGAGGCCATTAACTTTTATAAAGCCAGTCAGCCCGATCCCAACCCCCGCAAACCCTGAACATTAACTTCAATTTGTTGCCGCATAAAGCCAAAAATGGAAAATTTCAAAATGCGTCGTTTACAGCAAACACAAAGGAAAAGCCAGCGCGGAAAACCCAACTAGAATTTTTAGCTTAATGAGCTGCACAAAATTAATTGTTGCAATGAAATCACGTGCCCGAAAGGACAAACTGCCACAAAAAAAAGAAAACCACAAGCAAAATATCCCGTCAGACTGGAGCTGAAAGTGTTAGGGTATGAGTTATAGAGTATGTAAATTTTGGGGGTTGCACAACTTTCAGCAGAAGCCCCGGCAAAGCGAAAGGACACTCGGCGGCGATTAGAAACCGTTTCCACAAGGACTCGAATTCTCAGTAAACAATCCATCATTAACACATGCAAACACGGCCCACCCCGTGACCCCAACAGCCACCCACCTCCCTCTCTGTGTGGGTGTTGCACGTGTCTGTTTGCATTGCTGCCAGCTCAGACGACAACCAGACAACAACAGCAACAACAACATTTGCCAAATGTGTGTCGTGGCCAGGACAAAAGACACGTGCTTATTATGCCTGTGTTTCCATTGTTGTCATACGCTTGTGTAGGGTATCCTTGCTCTGTCAAGGCATATGTAACGCCTATAAGTAGACTTCCGCGAATTGTTAAAGCCATGTCCAGTTCTTGCAGAGGTGCGTCTGTCTCTTCCCCATGTCAGATCCTGCCGAATCGGATTAATATATAATTCAGTTCAGTGGATAGAGGCTATTACAAAATTAAATAAAATATATTATGGCCAGGCCCAGCCCCTGCAGAGGATCTTCTTTCTGTTCCCTATGTCCGATACTGCCGGATCGAAACATCTAATTTAGCAAATTAGGTTCTTCTACTATTAGCTTGACAGTTCTCATCTTGTCTGTTAGGGTATTTGATATTCGGCCTGCTCTTCCCTTTTGGCAGCTAGCTGTCTGCCTGTCGCTTCGTTTGCTGTTGCTGCTGCTTTATGGCCAGAAAAGTTGGGCCAAAAGTATCGTTTTTACTTTTACTTGCGTCTCATGCAAATTGCACAAGTTAAATTTTCAAAATGTCAGCCCCCAACCCCCCTTCTACCTTCTCCCCACCCCTGGCCACCCAGTGCTTAGTGCCTAAATGATGGCTCATGTTATGCGCCTTATGGCTGTCCGAAATCGCACCCCTGGGGTTCTGGGTACTGCCGGGTACTAGATACACTGCTGTGCGCTTTACGAGTGTTTCGTGCACTGAGAGAAAAGTGTTATAAGTAGTTTTAAAATATGCATTTGAGGTTATATGCTGCATTAGAAAGCGAATATATTTTAAAGACTATGGCTAACTCTTAATCCGATTTATATAAAAAAGGTGCCCTGGACGTAATCTTTTAAATGCCCATAGTTTTCGCTCAGTGTATGGCGCGCATGTAGAATGTTCGCATTACACTGCAGTTTATTTGCCAGGATTTCCATGTTATCAGCCAGGCGGCACGTGCCGCCGCTGGAGCTGCTGCTGTTGGCTTTGATTTGGCTGTGTGCAGACGAGGAATGGCTTTTAAATGGTGGCTGCTGCTATTGTCATGACCCGGAAAAACAACAACATGTCGTCGTAGGCAGTTGCCACTGTGGGTTGAACAACCTAAACAACATGCTCTGTCCAAACAAAACTAACAAGCGAGCCAAAACAAACGCCGGCAAAGTTCCAGCCAGGACATTGTCCCAAATATGAAGCCTCCAGCAAATGAACTGCATTTATGCGTGCAGCACAGCGCCAGGGCCAGCTGCTCCTATTCCTGCCCCTGCTGCTGCTACAGAGTGACCTCCTCTAGCTTCCTCTGCTCCTTCTGCATATACTCCTCTCTCTGCTCTCCTACTCCATCTCCTCCGGCTGTAAACTGACCTCCTCTAGCTCCGCCTGCTGCATAATGACCTCCATTATATACTGAGGCTGCAGCCCAAATTGGCCATTAGCATGTCCCAATCTCAATTCCAATACATTTCTTTCAATTTTCATGCCATTTCACTTCAAGCCCGTGTTTATTAACTGAGAAGTGCCTGACTTTTACCCAGAAAATTTCAGAAGTAGTTAAGGCATTCCTCTTTGCTGGGGCTTACTTGTGCTCAGAGTTCGGCGTTCGAATTTTTAGCTAGGGTATTGACGAGAATTATCAGCAAAGCACTATATATAGAAGAGTATTCGGTAGTCGCTATTTAGTTGTTAGGTATGTTTCATTCTTCCTGTTTTTTTGCAGTCTGAGTATCGGACTGTAAGCCATTACCCACAAGGGCCACACTTAGAGACTCAAACTATTCCCCAGTAATAAAGATATCGTACGTCATACAAGTGTATATATGGAAGGGCACTTGATAGTCGGCCTTCAGTTGGCTTCTAGTTTATCAGCTAAGCACCACATTTAAAGGTTAAAACCATGCATATTAAAAAAGAGATATCGTACTTCATAGAATAGTATACTACATATAGAAGGGTATTTGGTATGTCGGCATTCAGTTGTAAATTATTCTTCTCGCTTCTTGTTGATTGCAGTCGGCGCTACCAATTTGAAGAGTATCTGACTGTAAGGCATTCTCTCCATAAGGTACTTGCAAGTGTACATATAGAAGGGTATTTTTTAGTCGTCGTCATTCCGTTGTTTCTACTTTTTCTGGCCTCTTGTTAATTGAATTTAGCGCTACCAATTTTTAATTAATAACAATTTTGCGCTGTTCTTTTCGTTGTTTGCACATGCAAATTGCGCATTTAATTGGATTAACGCACATTTCCGAGCTGCACTGTGCCGCGCCCACCCGCCCTCTGCCCAGGGCTTGGCCCTGGCCAATTTATCATCGGATGCGTTTATTTATGTTGCGTTTTAATTATGTCGCATTGGCCACGTTGGAAGTGTGCCATTTATATGCAGGGGCATGTGACATGTGGCATGAAGCTGCGGATGTGCGGCTCGTTGCAGCTGCAGGCGCAAATAATTCACAAAACTAACGAGTTCATATAACACAGACACAAACTTTAGCTCTCACTTTCGAGCGGTATTCAAAGCAAAACTCCCGCCTGTAATTGATACCCTGTCTGAATATATATCTGATTGCGCTGAATGAATAACTCTTGACGGTTCACTAATTCTGACCGAATTGCAGTCAGTCAATTGTTGCCCGATAACATATAAATGCGCCTGGTGAAAGTCATTGTTCATTTGTTGATTTGCTGCCGCTGTGTAGGCGCAAGAATGCGCCTCCAGCAATGCGATATATAAATGACAACGTCATCATGCATAATCCTCACTGTTGACATCAATATGCCAATCAGAAGGCATTTGGATTGTGGGTTATTCAACTCTTGCTACTGCACAGGGTATAAGATCCAAGGAAATATTCAGAGTGTATGCTAAATGTGGAAAAGAGTTTAACCTACTTTGATGTCAGCATGTCCTTTGACTACTCATTAGAATTTTGAATACTCAAACTATTGTATATGGATATCAGGAATACTCGGTGACAAGCGTTGAATACTCGCATTTTGCGTATGAGTTTCAGGAATACTCATTGCCGAGCATTGAATACTTACACTTTTGCATATGAATGTCAGGAATACTCATCGATGATTTAGAGTAAACGTGCTTTGAGCTGCGAATACACTTCTTGAGCTTATGACTACTTCTTATACTCATTTATGGTTTAGAGTAGCGAACTTTTGCGTATGTCCAGGGTATCTTTGCTGCCCAGTTACTTTTTTATTGTAATTTGATTTGCAAACGTAAACACAAATACGCATTGTTCAAGATTTGGTGTGCCAAAAGAAATGAATTGTTTATGCTGAAACCAATGCAAATCTCGACTTTATTTTCTCCTCTTTGACTTTTATGCTTAAAATGCCTGGGGAATTGGGTTGCTTGTGCAGTGATGCATTCTAAATTGCAACCAAATGTGTGTCAAATCTGCGCGTCTGTCATTTCATAAAGACAAACAAGAATCAACAGAGTATTTGTTTAAGTATGCAGAAGAATAGGCAAGCAATTTGCCCTAAAAAACTATTTATTTTGTTTTGGATTATGTTAAAGTGATTGAATAGTGAATTGAATATAGAATTATTGTACTTATATCCTTCCTTTCCTAAATCACATGAATATAGTATGCCATTTATCCAGAATCTATACCCATAAGAATCGAACAGCCAAGCCTGAAGCTTGAACCTCAAATTTCCTCGCTTTAAGTAAACGAACACAGGTCTTCCGTATTACTCATAAGCTCCACGCTCTCCTGCGGCCTGTTGCTCTTTAAAAATGAAAGTCAATTGTCCTGCAGGTCCTGCCATGCGGCACCTATTTGGAAGCAGTTGGGGTAAGCTATTTGCTGGAGCTGCTTCGGGCTGCCATCACATGTCGGGCAACATTTAATTTTGTGCTCGCCGTTGACAATTCATAATACATGCTTATAATTATCCTGCACCCTTTGCGGCGGCCCTTGCTCTGCTGCCTGGCTTGCCCGAGTCAGCGCCAGTTTTGCACCACCAGCAGCTTTA